CAGACCATTTGTGTAGGAAATGGCCAATCACATCACCAACTGGCTCCCAGCTCTGCTCTGGAAAGCCCGGCTAGAAAGTCAGCTGTGCTTGGCCCCTCTGCATAGCCTCAGGGGCGTATCCTTTCTTCCCATACGCGTAGCAGTACGGTCACAGTCCCAATGCATCTGGGGCCTGCCAGACTCAGAGGGAGGCAGTGAATTTGAAAGACAAGAGACACTTCTTTGCTACAGCAGCAAGGAGCAGGTCACGCAGAAATTGACCAGCTCAGCTGCCAAGAGAGAAGTCTCCATTCTGTTAGAACGCCACTTGGTGCTGGAACGGAGGGGTGGGGAGCAATGCCACATTTGCACTGCCCTTCAGATGTGCCGAGCGACCCCCAGCTTCCACTGACTAACAGAAATGTAAAGAGTATCAAAGGATACTGTAGTGTGATCAGACTGTGGCAGGGGTACCTACTCAGCACAGGGCTGGGAGAGGGTGGTTAGCCCCATGCTATAGACTCAGAAAGTCACGCTCCTTCAACCCAGCTGAGCTAGCTCCAACTTGAACTACTGTCTAAGAGGGAGCAGCTCAGTCAGGATGGGTGGCAACTGATGTGTGTTCCTTGCTGAGGGGCCCTGAGTTGGTTGGCTCCTACCCCTTCTTCCTAGGCAATGAGATGGTAGAGACAGGTGACAAACTGAACTGTCATTTTGGATTTACATACTTTGACTCACCTGTTCATGTAGTTTACCTGCTTTAACCTCTCATTAACGCGTTGCTTTTCTTAGCTAATAAACCTTTAGTTAGTTTACTAGAGAATTGGCTGCCAGTGTTCTTTGGTGAGAGATCCATAGTATCAAACGGATCTGGGATAAGTGACTGATCTTTGGGGATGGGGAGTAACCTACTGCGACATGAGTTTTGGTTTACATAACCTTTTATCACAAAGTCTAGTTTGTCTGGGTGGCATGATAGATTGGATAGCTGTCACCGTGGCATAGTGATCCAGGAGTGTGTATTTGTTATTGGGATGGTGAAAGCTAATGAGACTATACTACCGTTTTGGGGCGTGAGCCCTGCTTTCTGAGTGTCTGACTTGAGATCGGAGAGGCTCACAACTGTGGATGCCAGACCATGTGACAATAGCCTGGATGAATAAAAAGTTGTTAAGTTTTTGACTCAACTGCATTGTTGTATAGGGCTCTGAATACTTTTCTCAGTAGTTCTTCCCCCTCTTTCTCACAGGTAGTTGTGAACTGGAAACTGGCTGAGCTAAGTGCTCGGGAGCAGGCAATGCTGGAGTTTGCTGTTGCAGTCAGTCACGCTGATAACATAACCGAAGAGCACTTCCAGAAGCTAGCAGCGCAGGGTTTTGACCGTGAAGATGCCTGGGATATAGGCATGATTGCCTCCTTTTTTGCCATGTCTAATCGTATAGCTCACTTTACTGACCTGCGTCCAAATGAAGAATTCTACACCATGGGCAGAATACCTCGGGACAAAGAAAAGGCAGAAACTCCATAATGCCGCCCACAGTTTTGTGAGGACATATCAAACACTTAATGCTGTGGCTAACATTGCTCGTTACCGAATATATATAAAAGGCAGAAGCTAATAGCAGATTGTTACCGGAAGAGATCAGATGGGGAAATGGCTTACACTTTCCTCCAGCATGCAGAAAGCTAGAAAGGGCTTGCAGCCGTAGGCCAGTTATAACACGTTTAGTTCCTAAAATAGCTTCAAGGTCAAAACTTTTTGTCTTAAAACTTGTTTAGGCTGCAATAAAGTGGCTAGGTAACATACTGTGATTTATAAACAAGCTGCATAGCAACTTTTTCATCACATCTGTTACATTAGAGTGTAAGGACCAGATGAGCTTTTGTATATATTGCACCATTGTCAAATGGGGGAGGACTGTAATACATTTCTCATGGCACTTTTGCTAATTATCCGACATTAATGTATAAGGGTTGGGGAGAAGGGAATGTTCCCTTTCTCAGCCTTATTAATGACTTATTTTATCCTGCAATAAAGGCATAATACTGCTGTGCTGTAATAGCACAATCATTCTATCATATCCCACAGATTTCAATGGGAAGTCTTGCATAGTTTCATTTGGGAGTTAGATCAGGCCTTAATGGGGGGGGGGGGGGGAACAGCCCGTTGGGGGGGGGGGGGGGGGGAGTTTTTATTTAAGCCCAGGCACCGTGCCAGCAATAACAGGCCTGTAGAAAATCACTGGCAGGAAAGTGTTTTTTCTTGGGGTTGCTCAGATGAAGAAATGCACTTCACAACTGCTGTTGGGATGACTGGTGACGGAATCAAGTGTTTGTAGGCATGCTTGCAGTGTTGCCAACTCTCGCTGTTTTATCAAAGGTCTTGTGATAAATGGAGAATTTTGTAACTCCTTAGCTGCTGTTGTCAGGGGATTTGTGTGAGAATCTGAGATTCCATTCTTTGAAAAAGAGAACTTCTAGCTCTCAGAGATACAAATAAAAGCTTGAAAGCATGACTCGTGTACCCACAATGCTTAAAACTAGCTAACAAAGAACACCCACCGTTTATAAAATGTTGTCAAATCTCTCGATTTTAAGTTTTTAATGTTTTAGGGCCTGGCCTATGACTTTTTTAACACTTTCATTTGGCCACGTTGCAACTAACTGTATCTAGTCTTTTTCCTCACAACTTTTCTAAAATGTCTGTTCTGTAAATGGATCGTGGACAATCTCCATTCAGTCTCCAGTACCTAAGAAACATGATTTTCTTGCTTGAGTTGTTTTCATGTCTGTGAAATGCAATTCTTTCCTTTGTGTGTGTTTTGAAACTAAATGTAAAGTGATGGTCCTTGACTCAGCTTTTAATCACATTGGTAAAAAAAATTATATATATATATATATATCCCTTTTTTGAAAAGTTGGACTGTGAAATGTGATCTTTTCTCCTTTGTAGGAGACTCTGAAAAAGCCTCCCATTTTAATGATTAAAAGGGTTGTGACTGAGAAGCTGAGGGCTGTTTGCAAAATACATGGAAGCCAGTGGGTGCCTTTCAGCTGACTTCAGTGGGCTTTGAACTAGACTTCTGAAGAGTAGAGCCTAGGATCTGTTGCTGATTGGGAACCAGTCCAAGTAATTGAGGGGAGGAATAGCAGAGAGAGGAATCTTCCCACTGAGTTATGGGTCAGGAATGAGGCTGTCAGCCCTAGTGTAAAACAAAAGTAGTATGTCTACACAATAGCCAACCTGTGGAACTCCTTGCCAGAAGTTGCTGCAAAGGCCAAGACTATAACAGGGTTCAAAAAAGAGCTAGTTAAATTCATGGAGGATCGTCTCGGAGGAGTAGCTGTGTTAGTCTGTAACTTTAAAACCAACACACAGTCCTGTGGCACCTGAGAGACTAAGACAGGGGCTACGTCTACACGGGCAGCGTCTTGCGCCAGAACTGTTTTACGAAAGAGTTCTCATGCAAAAATTCTGCCACAAAAGCACATCTACGCTGGCCTGTGATTTTGCACAAGATTTGTGCTTTTGTGCAAGAGCATCCACGGCAGTGCGGACGCTCTCTCATGCAAGAACCTCTGATGGCCATTTTAAGCCCAGGGGCTTCTTGTGCAAGACAGTCCTGCCTGGCTCCCCGCCCTCTTGTGCGAGAGCTCTTGTGCAAGACAGTCCTGCCTGGCTCCCCGCCCTCTTGTGCGAGAGCTCTTGTGCAAGACAGTCCTGCCTGGCTCCCCGCCCTCTTGTGCGAGAGCTCTTGTGCAAGACAGTCCTGCCTGGCTCCCCGCCCTCTTGTGCGAGAGCTCTTGTGCAAGACAGTCCTGCCTGGCTCCCCGCCCTCTTGTGCGAGAGCTCTTGTGCAAGACAGTCCTGCCTGGCTCCCCGCCCTCTTGTGCGAGAGCTCTTGTGCAAGACAGTCCTGCCTGGCTCCCCGCCCTCTTGTGCGAGAGCTCTTGTGCAAGACAGTCCTGCCTGGCTCCCCGCCCTCTTGTGCGAGAGCTCTTGTGCAAGACAGTCCTGCCTGGCTCCCCGCCCTCTTGTGCGAGAGCTCTTGTGCAAGACAGTCCTGCCTGGCTCCCCGCCCTCTTGTGCGAGAGCTCTTGTGCAAGACAGTCCTGCCTGGCTCCCCGCCCTCTTGTGCGAGAGCTCTTGTGCAAGACAGTCCTGCCTGGCTCCCCGCCCTCTTGTGCGAGAGCTCTTGTGCAAGACAGTCCTGCCTGGCTCCCCGCCCTCTTGTGCGAGAGCTCTTGTGCAAGACAGTCCTGCCTGGCTCCCCGCCCTCTTGTGCGAGAGCTCTTGTGCAAGACAGTCCTGCCTGGCTCCCCGCCCTCTTGTGCGAGAGCTCTTGTGCAAGACAGTCCTGCCTGGCTCCCCGCCCTCTTGTGCGAGAGCTCTTGTGCAAGACAGTCCTGCCTGGCTCCCCGCCCTCTTGTGCGAGAGCTCTTGTGCAAGACAGTCCTGCCTGGCTCCCCGCCCTCTTGTGCGAGAGCTCTTGTGCAAGACAGTCCTGCCTGGCTCCCCGCCCTCTTGTGCGAGAGCTCTTGTGCAAGACAGTCCTGCCTGGCTCCCCGCCCTCTTGTGCGAGAGCTCTTGTGCAAGACAGTCCTGCCTGGCTCCCCGCCCTCTTGTGCGAGAGCTCTTGTGCAAGACAGTCCTGCCTGGCTCCCCGCCCTCTTGTGCGAGAGCTCTTGTGCAAGACAGTCCTGCCTGGCTCCCCGCCCTCTTGTGCGAGAGCTCTTGTGCAAGACAGTCCTGCCTGGCTCCCCGCCCTCTTGTGCGAGAGCTCTTGTGCAAGACAGTCCTGCCTGGCTCCCCGCCCTCTTGTGCGAGAGCTCTTGTGCAAGACAGTCCTGCCTGGCTCCCCGCCCTCTTGTGCGAGAGCTCTTGTGCAAGACAGTCCTGCCTGGCTCCCCGCCCTCTTGTGCGAGAGCTCTTGTGCAAGACAGTCCTGCCTGGCTCCCCGCCCTCTTGTGCGAGAGCTCTTGTGCAAGACAGTCCTGCCTGGCTCCCCGCCCTCTTGTGCGAGAGCTCTTGTGCAAGACAGTCCTGCCTGGCTCCCCGCCCTCTTGTGCGAGAGCTCTTGTGCAAGACAGTCCTGCCTGGCTCCCCGCCCTCTTGTGCGAGAGCTCTTGTGCAAGACAGTCCTGCCTGGCTCCCCGCCCTCTTGTGCGAGAGCTCTTGTGCAAGACAGTCCTGCCTGGCTCCCCGCCCTCTTGTGCGAGAGCTCTTGTGCAAGACAGTCCTGCCTGGCTCCCCGCCCTCTTGTGCGAGAGCTCTTGTGCAAGACAGTCCTGCCTGGCTCCCCGCCCTCTTGTGCGAGAGCTCTTGTGCAAGACAGTCCTGCCTGGCTCCCCGCCCTCTTGTGCGAGAGCTCTTGTGCAAGACAGTCCTGCCTGGCTCCCCGCCCTCTTGTGCGAGAGCTCTTGTGCAAGACAGTCCTGCCTGGCTCCCCGCCCTCTTGTGCGAGAGCTCTTGTGCAAGACAGTCCTGCCTGGCTCCCCGCCCTCTTGTGCGAGAGCTCTTGTGCAAGACAGTCCTGCCTGGCTCCCCGCCCTCTTGTGCGAGAGCTCTTGTGCAAGACAGTCCTGCCTGGCTCCCCGCCCTCTTGTGCGAGAGCTCTTGTGCAAGACAGTCCTGCCTGGCTCCCCGCCCTCTTGTGCGAGAGCTCTTGTGCAAGACAGTCCTGCCTGGCTCCCCGCCCTCTTGTGCGAGAGCTCTTGTGCAAGACAGTCCTGCCTGGCTCCCCGCCCTCTTGTGCGACGCTGCACCCCCCCCCACGGGCCCACCCTCTCCAATTTCCCGCCCACTCCCAGTGCCCACCCTCGACCTCTTCCCTACCCCTGCGTCCACCTGCCCCCCCCCAAATAACGTAGTGCTCATCTACACAGCAAGCTCGTTATTTCAACATAATCACGGAATAATGGGCATCTTACTCCAACTCCAGTAACCCTCCTTGCATGAGGAATCGGGGAGAAGAGTGCTCCATTTCAAAATAACTGCTCTGTAGACTGGGCCAAAATGTAGAAATAAGCAATTTGCATAGCTGAAGTTGAATAGCTTACTTCCAGGTTAGCCCCCACTGTGTAGACGCACCCTCAGGGACTACTGGACCTTACAGAAGTCAATACCAGACCTTAAAGAAGAATAGATAGTGAGGTGGGTGGCAGAAGATACTGACGTGATTTGTTAGTCAAGATATATAGGAAGGGGTTGTGAAAAATTTCTAACCAACCTAGCAGAATAGACTGGGCAGCATGAAGGCAGATGAAGGTCGTCATAGAAAACTATTCAGTATTCAGCGGTGGGTAGAAAAATAACTTAGAAATTGGGCTGTATTTTGGAGAAAATAAATGATATGGAGAACTTTATTTAAACTTGATGGTGTCCTTGCCTTGAATAGTGCATTTGGCCTCTTATCAAACCTCTCTAAAACAATACATGGGAAAACCAATTAGACAGCGAGGGAACCAAGAGGGTGCTCGTTAAAACTATGAAACCAGCTATTAAAACTAATATATTTACAATGTATATAATTCTGTGGATCTGGTATGTCATGTTATAAGATTAAAAGTGATTAGACATGGATATGAACAATAGCATTTGTGGATACAGTTTCAAATGAAAGCTACCAAGCATCCGCAAGGATTTGGAGTAGGAGAGCATTCTTCCTTGTAGGCCATGGGGCGGTAAAGTAGGTACCAGGACTAAACTGTCTTTTGGCCTGTCTTTGAATGAATGACAGGAACTATATTCCTACTTTTAGACAGCGTTAAAAGTTAAACTGTATTGTTTCCTGATTTTACAATCCCATTCCAGTGTCATTTGTTGTTCTGAAAGTTTAATCAGTACAAATCCAGTCTCAGTGTGTGCTCTCGGGCTCCTGCTCGTTGATGTGTGTGAGTAAAGAGCTGTGCGGAAGCAGTTAGAGATGTCAAAATTAGTAGGCCAAACATTTTTGACCATTTCTTTCTTGCAAAGCCCATGTTGTTCAGCATGGTTCAGTGTGGCCAATCTCTTCTAAAAATGTCTACATTAACGAAGTGGAGGGTGCTCATGTTGCATGGGTGCTAATTCAGTAAGGAACTAAATCTGCCTAATGCTTTCAAGAATTGTTTTTTTTTAAGTTACACTGCCAGGCTGTCTCTACACTGGCATGAATTTCCGGAAATGCTTAAAACGGAATACTATTCCGTTTTCAGTTTTTCCAGAGAAGGAGCGTCTACATTGGCAGGCTGCTTTGAAAAGAGCCCCGATCGCCATTTTCGCGATCAGGGCTTTTTTCTGGAAAAGACTACTGGGCTGTCTACACTGGCCCTTTTCCGGAACAGTGTTCCGGAATAAGGACTTATGCCCGAGTGGGAGCAGAATAGTTTTTCCGGAATAGCGGCTGATTTTGTACAGTAGAGCATCGTTGCTTTTCCGGAAATTCAAGGGCCAGTGTAGACAGCTCGCAGCTTATTCCGGAAAAGCGCCTGATTTTCCGGAATAAGTGGCCCAGTGTAGACACAGCCCTCGGGTTTAAGTATACAACGATACTGTGCATTGGATCAGAGATTTTGTGTTATAAGGCTGAATCTTGGTTACCTTACCTATGCAAATAAACATCCCTGACTTCAGTGGAATTAATGAACAAGATGAGCACAACTTGGTTCAGAGAGTGGCATGGTATGTAAATAGTTTGGGTTCTGTTGTAAAACTAACAGCTGGTCACAGCCAAATGGAGAAAACTTGGCCCTGTTAAACGGCACCAACACTCGAATGACCACCTGTGCCATGTATGAGCCATTGAGCATTCGGGTTACAAGAACTAGTTCGAGGCCTGGGATGGTCTGTGTTCATTTTTGTGCCCAAAAGATAGCCCACCAGGACTACAAACAATGTCTTGAGCCATTCGAAAGCTGTGGCTCTCCACTGACAAGCAATGCACAGTATTTGTTGTGCAGTCATGTTCTGAGAACGGTCTTGTTGCTTTTCCACTTCCATTGGCTCTAGTAGAAGAGATCTCAACAGTAAGCACAATAGTAGGAAGCATTTATGGGGAATAAAATGGTGTTTTGTGTGATGAGATCTAAGTTTGCCTGCACTGGGACTTGTGAACGGGCATAGCTGTAATGAAGATGTGCTGCACAGGTGTACAGTGACATTTGCAGTGGTGCCAGTGTAGCTTCCCTGGTACAGAAATACTCATGGTAGACAAGGCCGAGGCCTATCATTACATGTCCCATGATCCAGGACTGATTTGGGAACCACATTGATACTTGGTGCAAATTAGCAAGCATGGACCTGCTAGCCCCAACAGTCTCCATGGGATCATTCTGTTGGTTGAAGATTTGATAGCACATTTTTCCAGGAGCTGAAGTACCTCATTACACTACTCTACATGACTCCAGAATCCTGTTCTGCTGGGGAAATCCTTAGTGTCCCACTTACGGCAGCTCTAACATCAGTTGGCATAGCTCTAGTCATGCAGTGTCCCTCAGCTGATTTTAGTACCATAAATGTCTTTCTGGTAGTGAAATTTGGGATACCTTTGGCTAGTGCAGAACCAGACTGCCCCAGAAGATTATGGCTGCCTTTTCCTTATGCACCTCGCTGGGATTTTTTTAACTTGTCTTGCTACCATTTGCTTTCCTGGTATTTGTGAGCATGCAAAGCCCTGAAAAGGATCTTAGATTCTCTGATTCTGAGAACAACTTTTGATAGCTGTTAACATTAGTGAACAGGTACACCTAGACCATGCCTCCACTGAATTTACAGCTAACACATGCTAGCTATCTCTCTGCAAAACCCGTGTGAAGACGAGACTTTGGATGGGGGGGCGTGAACTGAATTGGGGATGTTGCTCTTGCCTATGCACAAGATGGTAAAAGCCACCTGTGTCTTGTCTTGTCTCCACTAGGATTGTACACTGTGCAATAGCTGTCCCACATTAGTTTTAAATAACCACATTTCTGGCCACAAAGACACGCCAGCCACAGTTAGTGGTGACAGATTTCCAAGCAGTTGTCCCTCTAACGTCTGTGTTTTAAATCTGTAAGATTTAATAACTTACATGAAAGGGCCGAGCTGTTATGACAGAGAAAATCAGTTTGACTTTTCGAAACAGCTGCCTGAAATGAAGTAACGCTCTGGGTTTGGTTAGGGTGAGTAAATGTCCAATAGTTTAAATTGCAGTGTGTGTTAGTTTGAATGCATGTATTACAACGGGCAAGGTAACACATGATGCAGATTCTAGAGCAGGGGTGGGGAACCTGGGGGCTTGATGTGGCCCTTGGCTTGCCTGGATCCGGCCCCCAAGGCTCGGGCTCCTACCCAGCCCTGGGGAGTCCATGCTGGCAAGGGAGGTGGTGGAATCTCCCTCTCTGGAGATATTTAAGAACTGGTTGGATAGACATCTGTCAGGGATGGTGTAGGTGGAGCTTGGTCCTGCCATGAGGGCGGGGGGCTGGACTCGATGACCTCTTGAGGTCCCTTCCAGTCCTATGATTCTATGATTCCAGTCCCTCCCCCCCCCCCCCCGCATGCCTCCAAAGGGCTAGAGCGCACACAGTCTACTAGCCTGAGCCACCCTAGGCCCTGGTGTGCAAGGGGAATGGGGGGAGTGTCTTTCTCCTTCTCAGTCGGGGGCCCCATCGGTGAGGGTGTTGTGGGGGTTTTTTTGCTTCTCTCGTGTGTGCAGCCCCCTTACTGATTTTTCTGTGGGCATCTTCAGTACTACTCTTCCTCCTTTCCGTCTACAGACAACACTCATTAACCAGTCAGTACACACTTGCCCATTAGGAACCTCTAGCGTAGACTATAAAGCGCTGCACTGATGGGGCAAAGGTCCCTTTGAAGAACACTGTAAAACTACTGAAATGTACCTAATTGTCATCCAGCCATGCTGCATGTACAGTTCTGAACTGGAAACCCCATGTGATCAGTCCAGTGACTATGCCAGCTGTGCGGCTATGTATGCCAATAGCCAGGCAGCGGAGGAGAGGGAAGCTTTCTGAACAGGTGATAGAGGAATTGACTGGGTAAGTGAGCGAGCAATAGGCCAGTTTGCACTGTACAGTCTCGAAGTAGGAAAGGTTGGAGGGATGAGAACTTGTACAATGTCAATCAAGACAATACTGATTTGTGGAATGAGCACGTTTAGTAATCAAACAGCTGTAATGATTACTTGCCCGTGTTTGCAGCCCGCATTTCTGTTTACCAGCTGCAAGATGTTTCTCTTTCCTTTTTCAGGTCAGTGCTGACTGTTGCTTGTGAACAGACTGAGGTCCTGCTTTTTGACCCCATATCTTCAAAGCACATCAAAACTCTCTCTGAAGCTCATGAGGACTGTGTGAATAATATCAGGTGAGTATCCTGGGAAACAAAGCCATACGCCAGGAAATAGTATGCCAGTGTTTTCCCTGACAGTGGGTGTGAATGTGTTCGTGGTGCTGTAACGAGACATATCCGTCCTCTGCTCTTCTGTGCTGTGTCTTGCCAGCAGTGCGGTAACCTGCATCCCTCGCCAGACTGCATCTTGTGTGGAGGGGAAAAGTGGATGGGCAGTGTTACAGTGAAGTAGACATGCAGTGTAATAGTGAACATACACACGCAGCATATTAGGGGTATAGAAACTTGGTTAATCAGTTAACCAGTTAAACCTTAGGGTTAGTGCTTAGGGCTCCTGCTCCCAGTAGCTCCAAGCAAGAGGCAGCTGGCTTCTGCTCCCGGCCGCCTCCCCGTGCACAGGGCGGGCAGCTCCCATCCCCCACAGGGCAGAAGTAGCCCACTGCCAGTGGCAGGCCCTGAGTGTGGGGCTGCTCCCAGGTACCAGCTAACCAGTTACCTGTTTACATCCCTGCGATGCACCTTTGTCCCTTTAAATGTCAGATTGGGGCAAATCTAGCTCAAAGAGGGAATGTTTCTGGAGGCAATGTAGAGGTATAGTGATGCACAAAGGGGTGGAGTGCCAACTGTGCAGGCAGTGTCTGGCTTTTGAGTGCTTCCCAACACAACTCAGTCGGTTAGTGTAGACTCCTTGGTAGGGAATGCTTTAAGATTTTTAATTTCCTTTTGTAGTGGGAAGTGATAAGGAGGAAGATGAAATGAGCGGCAGTGGGAGGAAGAAGTCTGGGAGCAGAAGTCAGTGATTGGAGAAAGGCAGACCTGACTTCCTAGGATGGCAAATCCTAGGAACAAATTGCACAGGTCTTTCTCAGTCCTGTTAGGTTTTTAAAAATCTGTGTTCAGTGCTGCACAGAGCTCCCTCTGCTGGCTCTTGTAGCCCCAGTGAGCTGTGTTCTCAGAGTTTTACTGTCCTCTGCAAGAGGCTGGGAAGGAAACTATGGACAAAACTAGTAAGGAATGAAGTGTTTTCATTAAAGATTCTGGACAAGTGAAACAAAACCAAGCCACAGATCTGTAATCGCTTTAAATATTGTCATGACTTGCAGTACCCTGGAAGAGACTAAGCGAGGAGGATAAAAGTACATATTTTGCTATGCCCTGGTCAGCTCTTTGCTGGACTAACTCTCCTGTATTGTTCAAAGGCATCTTTATACACTTCTCTGCCATGGAGCCAAATTTTCAGAAATTCTTGGACTCAAAAGACTAATGCAATTACTCTGGGTACCAGAGTAAAACCCAGCCCAGATTTAGCTGCAGAAAATGACTAACTTTCTTCAGTCACCAAAACTGAAACAATCTGCTTTTGTCAGTAATGTTACTAGGGCACAATGAAGCGAGGTCTCCTTATGCTTGGGTCAAAATCCTTTGCTAACTTTGATATCTAGGTGTCCTGTATAAAACCCCAATGAAGATCCTTGCCCAGAAATGTGTGACGTAGCCAGAAAATGTCTGGCATGAAATGCCCTGGCTAGCACAGCTGGATGCATGGGGCAGGGTTTAATAAGTGGGTTAGTAATAGCAGGCCTCTCAGAGAACATGTTCTGTTTCGTTGAATGGCGAGAAGCTAGTGCTTTTGTCTGGCAGGGATGGAGGGCCAGCATGGGAGGAAGAGTCAAAGGAAGTGGTAAGGAAGGAGGAGCGGAAAGAGTAAAGAACAGTAGCATGTCATCTTCATTCAGTGAAACCTACTTGAATATTGCGCTGTCTACAGTGTGGAGCCTGGGATTCCCATCTCAGCAGGCTCCCTGCTGACCAGAGTGTCGCAAGTGGAGGGCTAGGCTAAATGAAATCTGACAGCCTAAGAACACCCTTCCAGCAAAGAGGCTTCCCAACGGGAGTCTCTTCTCAGTGGTGGTCCCAAAGCTGGCTGCTCTTGTAATGCTCATGTCTCGCTTCCACCTCCTGAACTGTACTCAAGGCAGTTAAAAATACATCCAGTCCTTTCCTGGTCTCCTCCGCACGGGGCTGGCAATCTGAGTCAGTCTTGGCTGCCTGATATGACTGCTCTAATAGTAGCTGCTTGTTTCTCCACTAGCTAAGATGTTTTGTTTTATTCCCCTGCCCAAACGTTATTTGGGAGATCAGTGTCACCAGTGCGACCTGAAACACGTTTGGTTCCCTTTTCCATTTCGTTGACAAACCTTATAAATCCAGTAAACGCTGCACGTCTTCCATGGCAGCGTGGCTTGGGGTTGCTCCATTCCATCCGTTTATTAAAAGCTTAGCCAGTATGCTACAATCCGCTAGCGCGGGGTAGCAGGTCGTGGCAACCACGGAGTCATTGCAGTAGGAGCACATGTGCAGCGCGATGGCTGCAAGTGCTAATGGATGTGTAACACAGGACTCTCTGGGTGCTGGGGGCTTGCGACACATCTGCACTGGCACATCTGTGGCCATTGTTGGAATGCTGTGTCCTGTTCCCGGTCCCACCGTGGGAGAAAGCTGTTGATAAACTGGATGGTGTTTGGAAGAGCCACAAGAATGGCTAAAGGAACTGGAAATATAAGTTATTGTGAGAGACTCCAAATGCTCAGTCTATTTTGCTTAATGAAGAGTAGGCTCAGGATAGGGATTCAAGCGACTAGTCGACTATCCAATTAGCAAAAGCTTATCGGATAGTCAGCTAGTGACTCGACTAGTCGCTTACCTCCCCTTGCTGAATTTACCAGAGCGAGGTAGCAAGGGGGGAAGCAGGATCCGGTGCTGAGGAGGGAGCTGGCTTCACAGCCCCCCGCTGGCCCCGCACTCGGAGGCATTTGGCTTTCGAAATGTACAAGAGCCCTCCCAGCGCTCTTGTAGATTTCAAAAGCAGGGAGCACTGTGCTAGTGGACTGCTTGAGTCTCCTGCCGGCAGGGCTCTTGCTGCCTTTCCAAGGCAAAGACGCCCTTATTGTCCAATTGAGTAGTCGATGCAGATTACATCTGTTACACCTTGGTTCGGTGATGTGATGGGAGCCTCAAGGGTTAAAGCCGACTACCCAGTGAAAACTACTGGATGATGGTGAAACAAATGATATTTATTAAGTGGTCAAAACCAGCAATTAACAAGTAGGTGTTTAAACTAGCAATTGCTTAGTACTTTTACAGCGTAGAAAAGCTTGGGCACAATTATACCCAACTGATTACAATTCTTTGATTACAATTCACTTATATCAAATCACTATTCCTAATTCGCCTAAGACAACGCAGCATACAAATAAAAAATACAAAAAATAAAGCCAAAATAATGATAATAAAAGAACCATCCAAAGCCAGCCCCTCTATGGTTATTTTAGGACAGCTGGTGGAGTTAGTCATAAATCTACGTTTACAACTTAACAACTCCGGGGCTTCTGTTTCTAACACTTATACTTAACCTAAATACAACACTACTATGCAACACAAAATTTTACAATTTACACAGCGTGGTTAACAGAACTTAGATACACTTTACAGAATTACACAGTGAAATTAACACAATTTGACTATTAATTAAACCAATAACTAATACATTTAAGCAATACTTACAAATCCAGAAACGATAACAACACAAAGACACACTAGAACTCGGAGCATGCTCAGGACTCGTGCACCCCTATATTTGATTCGAAGGGTGGGGAGGCAGCCTCAGGGTGATCAATCCTTTAGCCAGGCAAAAAAAAGACACGTGCCCTCAATACACGGAACCTCCGTCGAACAAAGGGGTAGAGGGTCTTTTATACAAAAATTCGGTGTCTGTTGCCATGCTAGGGTCTGCATTTGGCAGGGCCTGATAGGCTAGTGATGAGGTAGCATGACAATA